ATTACAAGCGGTAACTTAACGTCACAGCAGACATACACAGCCGGTGTTTCTTGTGAGTGTTTTAAAAAAGATGAATTACGTTGTTTATAAATTAATCTGAGGGCCGCAAAAAGAGGAGGCGGGGGCCGCCATTTGCCCATCCCCGCACTAACATCCTGATACTTTCCCATCTATATGCTCACTGCAAACATCACATTACATCAGCATCTATGAGACATGTACCAGCCACTACTGAGGAAAGGATACGCAGCACTAAGATCTTGGGGAACTTCTGTATTGTGAACTTCTTAGTACATCTTCTCCTGGCTTTACACCTGTAGCACGTCTGTGGAGAGGAAATACAGTTTGATTTCAGGACATGGAGCAGACTTGGGGAGTAATGGATTACAGGTGACAGGATAAAAAAAGGTAACTCTATTCCCTTACAGTTACATTTCTATAATACTAGCATGATGACAATTCAAGATAAAGTGGCTATGTGGACACAGGCCCTACATATGCTGAGTCATGTTCTAGCACTGAGGAGTCATCACCGCTCCGATGGTTCTTACCGGCTTCTCGTCTCCGTCCAGGACGTCTTCTTTGGTGAAGAGCCGCATGCAGTCCATCAGGCTCACCTCACCGTAGCCCTTCTGAGCACAAACATAGATGCATTCACATTAGCATACACACACACACACACACACACACACACACACACACACACACACACACACACACACACACACACACACACACACACACACACACACAGACACACAGACACACAGACACACAGACACACACACACACACAGACACAGACACAGACACAGAGACAGGGGGAAAACCAAAAAGCTCATGTTTAGAGCTGTGGGAAGATATTTGTGATTGCTTTAAACCATCGTGCAATATCAATATTGTAATATAAGACTAGATATATTGTGACATTTAATATATCATAATTGTGTACCCTGGTTTTCAAGGCTGCATTATAGAGATATTATGTTATTTTCTGAATTTAACAGACTTTAGCTGTTCTATTATTTAGCTCAGACAACTTAGTCTTTATGACCACATTAATGCAGATTATAAATCTAATTCTTATTGTTTAAATATGTTGTAAAAGCATCAATGCTCAACCCTACTATAGAGTGGTGCAGTGATGACGTATTTTTGTCACCACCCGGAAAGTAAGCCTCGCAATGTTTCCCTCGACAAAAAGCAATGGGATTTCTCCACTGGATTTCGCTATATTGCAGAAAATAAGTTCTGTGGCAAACACACATTATGATATTCAACAACTTTTGTTCAGCAGGACAATCTCGACTAATAACCCAATTTATTGATTTTTGAAGCGTAAATGCAATCGCCAAAATATAATACGCTAACGCTAGGCTATAAACAATCTACATCACATTCACATGGCTGCCCATTGCCTCCGCTAAGCTAAAGGCGGCTAATGTTTGGTTTGCTGACGTTTAGCAGGTTGTTTAGCCACTTGTTAGCAACCGCCGTTTTTATGACACATAAAAGCTTCGGACATTCATATAGGGAGTATCCACTGGCGTATTTAATGTCGTAGAATATCTCTTAAGCTTTTGTTAACCACATACCTAATTTCAAGCTTCTAACCACAAATATGTTGACTTTGAGAAGAGGGAATCGGCAGTGGTAAAATGCAACGTTTTTTTCCTGGTTTAAGACTCGTTTCTGCACCACTAAATGATGGTGATTTGATTTTCTTCATCGTGCCCAGCTCTAACTAACAAGAAGTACAAAGAAAGGTCACCTCTGTGCTACCTATTGTGCTGACATGTGTCTGCTGACCTTCTGGGGCTTGTTATGTAAGGCTCACCAGTGTATGTGTATGTGTGTGTGTGTTTCCTAACCTTGGCGATAGGTAGAGAGAGATCCCAGAAGGGGTCAAAGACGGTGGAGCAGAACCCGCAGTAGCTGCAGGTTAGAGAGCTCTTCAGCTGCCCCACGAACACGTCTGCAGAGATAAAAGCAAAAAACACGACGCTGATCACTGGCTGAACACATCTGGCATGAAAAACAGTGACAAAAGATGTATGTTTTATTTGGCTTTTCTGTTCTTCTTCATGCCGACACAAAACAAAAAACAAATATTACAAATATAGAAGAGATTGAATGTACACACTTATACATTAAAATGGATGGTGATGCTTTTCTACTTACCGACTATCTTACTGTCTTCTCTCTCCAGATATTTGCTCCACATCTTCTTCCCTTTCTCTTCGTCCCTGAACATGGAGCACAGGAGTCTGTTAGAGAACTGGATGAGTGCAGAGTCATTGAGAAGATGGCCAAGAGAGTCAGAAACACACTGATCAGCTGTTCTGATTCAGAAAAGGAGCTAATAAGGAAATGGGTCAGAGCAGAAAACAGACACTACTAAGGGACCTGACCTACTTTATCACAGCTTCCCCCTGGGACATGATTTCAAGCTGGAAATGGATCTGCATTTTGTTTGATAGTAAGGCACTGGGTTTTGTTCTGAGGATAGTACACAGAGATGGACCCTTAAACATGGCGTTAGATAACTGATAATCACATCTAATAAGAGTCGGAGCGTTACTCTGACTTGGGAGCCACAGAGGAAACAACTCAACAACACAGGAGGTGAAGTGTCCCATGAGTCCTCATTGAGAGCGTAAGGAAGAATCTTAATGATGCCTCTGTCTAATCCCTGTTTACAAACTGTATACTATCATGGGTGGTTATGATCCAATGGACCCCTTGGCAAAGACACGCAAGAGACCCCACCCCTTCTACTACAGAGGCTTTGATGTTGTTTAGCCTTTTTGTTGTCTTTTTGTGTCTCTTCGTAGTCGTTTCATGTCTTTACATTGTCGTTTTGAAGTCAGCTGGAGCTCCAAAAACTACAAGCAAGTCTGTTTTTGTTTGTCTTTTTTTTTTTTTTACGTGGAACAGGGTTGGCTTTAGAAATCTTAATTAACTTTAAAGTTCACTTGACACTGGGTTCAAATCAGCTGTTGTTACATTTTGTAGTAATTTCTCTTTGTGGACGTTACGCATATATCTGCACTACTTAATACTATACGTACTATATATACTTGTACTATTACTACCGCTATCTGGCAGCTACTTCATAACTTTTTACTTGTTCCACTTACATTTTATAATGCTTTCACTTATCTTTTCTGCCGTGAATATGCACTTATTTCATTTGAATTTAATTACTTATTAATATTAACTGTCAATGTGCTGTAACAATGTACATGTCCACTCTGTGGGATGATTAGAGGAGTTCTGATGTCATGTTGTGTATCTTTTTAGGAGTGAAAGATCTTTTTTTGTTTGGTTGTTTGGCTCCTTTTCATAGTCATTGTGACTCTCTTTGTGTTTTCTTGCAGCTGTTTTACATCAGAAGAGTTTTGCCTTTTTTGTAGTGAATTTGTGTTTCTATGTAGTCATTTGTAAACGTATAATGACATTCAGGTGAAGGCCAGGGGGACAGAGGACTTACGGCAGGTGGTCAAAGTCCTCCACCGAGCCTCTCGGCCTGACAGTGACCCTGTTGACCTCGTTGTGCAGACCGTCCAGGAGGAAACGCAGGAACTCCTGAGCATCCTGTTGGCTGCAGGACACAAACACTCAGTCAGAATTGTAAAGCTGATTTTACTGTCATATCTCTAGACTCTTGTAGTTGTGTGATTATGAGACAGAGGGAGGTGCTTCTAAAAGATTTACAAAAACAAACATTGTTAAGAGTGAAGGGTGTAACAAAGCTTACTTGTATCCGACAAATCTGGGAGCATATCTCTGGATCTGCGTTTTGAATTCGGACGGGCTGACAGCCTCGCTGCTGGACGACGTCCACATTGTCTGTAACAGCTTGGCAAATTCTGCAACAACACAGACACTCATTTGAGAATCCGCCGAGCGTGTGATCATTTGACTCACACGCTCGGCGGATTCTACCATAACAGTGTATTCATGTCAAGTTAACAGCTCCATTGTTTTATTTAGTAAAAGTTTAAAAAAGGTAACTAAACCAAAAATGTCCGGACTATTGAAATATTGATCATCACATCTACCTTTTTATTATAAATGCAATTGCAAGAATGAAAGAGTACATAACTCCTATAGTGTGTATGTATATTGTGTTTTACCAGCTGTTCATATTAGCTTTGTGTTAAATAGGCATTGTTGAAAGTGCATTCAAGCTTTTTCCAAACATTCAAGACAGTGCAAACCTTGCTAAAAGGCCAAGGAAAATATTGTCACAGCCTACAAAAGATGACATAGAAGCAGATCTACTGCAGAGGTAAAGAGGTAATGAGTGTGAGGTCTGTGGGAGTTTCTGGTTCCAGCCTCTAGGGGGCCTATGTGACTTGTCTCTCACCTTCCATGAGGGCGGTGTTGGTGCGGCTGTTGTTGTTAAGGTCTCTGCGGTGCGAGTTGTGCAGGCAGTAGTCCCGCAGGCTGTGTGTGTTGCTGAGACACTGCAGGATACTGTTCATGAAACACTGCAAGGACAAACAGCGAACAGTGAGATTCCATGACTGATAACATCACGTTCTATTCAATAATGATACTTACACATTTATGTACAAAATGATGGCAAAAACCCACCAGTATTCTTACAATCTAGTTTCGAACAATAAAATATATTTACTGATTTAAATGTTATCCATAGCTGAATCAAGCAAGTTAAAGAGGACATGCTAATTTTCAGGTTAAAATGTGTATTTTGTGCCTCTTTTGAGACATGTCTCTGTGCTTTAATTAGACCCTCTAGAAAAACGCGGGCTAAAATCCTTGATTATGCGTGCTAAAATCCTTGATTATGTGGGCTAAAATACTTGATTATGCGATTAAACATGCGGGGTTTTTATGTGATTTTATGCGGTTAAATTGCGAAATATGCGGAAAGTTGCGAAATATGCTAAATATGCGGGGAAAAAGAATAACCATTTTTTTAAATATTGGGCTGTCTTATTTATTCTCTCTCACACACAACCTTCCACTAACGTTAAACCCCTTTCCTATTCAATTAAACACATTCAATGTTTATTTATTGTAAAAGCAATGGGGCTATTTTAATCACACTCTCTCTCACACACACACACACACACACACACACACACACACACACACACACACACACACACACACACACACACACACACACACACACACACAC